CGCACGCCACTGGTGGCGACGCAGATAGGGCAATGAGCTACGATATTAAGACTGGCGATACGCGATGCTGGACGATGCAGCGGCGAGCAATGCAATGGGCGGCCGGCGGGGCGGCGTTTGAGGGCCGTTAGTGGATGCTGCGTCTAGAAATTACTGGACATAGACCCCAGGCACAGCAAAGCAACGTGGATGGCGGGCGGTGGAGGAGAGGTGATGCAGTGCAAAGGAAACAAGCACCGAGGTGATGGGCAGCACGCGAATTAATGGGTATGCGCGCCGGCGGCGAGTAGTCTTCCAGCAGGAGCGGCCGTCCAGGGCCTTATTATTCTGGACCACCAGGACCTCGTGTCTGGTGGCGCCAGGTCACGAGCAGCTCTAGTATACCCTAGAGACAACCAGGCCGAATCTCGCAAAGGCGGTCTTGCGGGTGGAAAGGAGAGAACAGGCCCCAGATGCAGTGGCCCGACGCAGGCACAGGCACGGCACATGGGCTTTGCGGCTGGCTCACCTCCCTCGATGCTTTGTTTGATGCCCAGCATTGCCCTTGGAAACACACACATCCATATCCCAACACTCCAATTCACTCGCCCTCACCCTCACCTCGCTGCACTCATCTCTCTGCCAGCACTCTGCCTCTTCTCCCTCCCTCAACTCTACCCGCGTTTCATCAAAAGCTTATTAGACCGTTGCGGTAGTCCCTGCTCGTCGCTCGTCGCTGCAAGCGCACGATCTTCGCGCCGAGAGGTCTTGACAGAGCCTCCTTACGGAATAGCTGCCGACTCCTTCACAATTGCGGGGAAGACCCTGAGCCTAACTCCCTGAGCCTCAGCTTCTGAAAGGTCCGAGCGGACCTTTGTTCTGTCCAGTCCAGCCCCAACCTTCACACGGTTCACGGCATCACACCATGGCCTCGCCTCCTGCTCAAGAACGCCCCGACGTGCCGCTCCACGGCGGCTTCACGCGCTTCGAGCTCGAACTCGAGGTACGTACGTCGCTGTCTTGCGTCACGGCCCCTAATTCGTTTCATCAATACGTTAACACGAGCCTAGTTTGTGCAATGCCTCGCGAATCCCGTCTATCTCAATTACCTCGCTACGCAAAAGTACTTTGATAAGCCCGAGTTTGTTGCCTATCTCGACTACCTGCAGTACTTTGCCGAACCCAAGTATATAAAATTTCTCCAGTGCGTACACCGCCTTGTCGCCAGTCACACGCAGGTGTGCTTACTGATGCTCACTTTGCAGTCACCCCGGACCAACGCTACGCGCACTAGAGTTGCTGCAGCAGGAGCGTTTCCGGCAGGACATCATCACACCTGGACTCGCAAACAAGCTGCAGATTGAGGGCCAGAGGAACGCGGTGCCCAGCCAGAAAGACTGAACGCGAGGCTCAGATCTGCGTTCTTGAGAGTAAGACAATCTCGTGTGGCTCGTATGCACGCCGAGTCACGGCGAGTTGCCCAGGTACCGATGCGGTCCTGTTGAAGAGTTACTCCGTAGGTCGTGGCGATCCGGCTGAATGCAGTTTGACTCCCACCACTACCCAAATGACGGGACGTCGTTGAAAATGCACGTGGGAAGGCATGATTCAGGAACATGTCGTCGTTTCAAACTCCGCGCATCGATGACGAAGGACCTGTCAAACAGACATCATCGACAACGGCCAAACATAGTTGCATGAAACTGCATAATTCGACTTGCATCAATGAGATCACCCATGGGCTTTTGATGCTTGAACCATGTCTGATCCTAGCGAGCTTATGAAGTAACAGACCCTGGCAGCCAAAACCTCAGCGAAAGACAGACGTCATCGCCTGTCCTTTTGCTCGATATTTCATTGAGGTATTCGCTTTGGTGACGCTTAGGCTTAGGTCTGGTTGCTTGTGAGATGTCGTCCAATTGTCCTGACGTCTGCCACGTGAGATGCCTCGGTGTATCTTAGGCCCGCGAGTACCCCACGTCGCGGTACCACGCGCAGCACCGACATAGCTCGAGCTACCATCAGGGTACTTTTGCACCACATTCCTTGAAAATTGCCCATCTCCTCAGCTGCCCTCGTGATGCGGACCGTGCCTGAAGCCGAGTGCGCCTGCCTGCTCCCAATTGCTGCAAACCTCACTGACACCCGCCAGGAAGCATTGGCGCCAACTCGATGACTTCCACTCCTTGACCGACTTGAAGATTCACGTATCCTCGCACAAGGAGCCACAGATCACTGCAGGCCTGCGCTCTGTGTGTTGGAAGGTGCGTCCATCGCTCTCTCCTCTGAGATAGACGCTTACCAATAGCAGATCTTCCTCGTCTTCAAAACACTCGATCGATCATCATGGCCTACCCACCTTTCCAACACGCGCAGGTCTTACGAATCCCTTCGAGATCACTATCTGCGTGCGATACGACACCCCGATGAGTTCGACTCGTCTGTGGACCCACTGAGCGAACATGACGAGGTACAAACATCTCTCTTCTGGCTGAGCCTATCTGAACCTATCAGGTACTAAGCCGTGAAAGTCCCCATGGGTAGCCCTTCGAGCCGACGAAGCGCTGCGCGCCGAGATATTCCAAGACATTGAGCGATGCATGCCAGACAATGTCTACTTCCGACAGCCCGGTACACAGGACATGATGTTGGACATACTGTTTGTGTGGTGCAAGATGCATCCAGGCATAGGGTACCGTCAAGGCATGCACGAGATATTGGCACCACTACTCTGGGTCGTGGAGAGAGACGCCGTCGAGCGAACGAGCGCTTCTGGGCAACCAGATCCATTGCTCATGGATATGCTGGACTCCAGCTACATTGAGCACGATTCGCATGCACTGTTCTCGCTCATCATGCAAACAGCCAAGTCTTTCTATGCACCGGCGGAGACAGGCTCGACGACCAAGGATACACCAATGCTTACAAGGAGCTCAAGAATCTTCGACAAGTTCCTGCCGAAGGTCGATCCTGAGCTGTTTGCCCATCTGGTGAAACTTGAAATCGTGCCTCAAATATTTTTATTGTATGATCTCTAAAACTGCTCAAGGACCTTGCTAACAGTAATTAGACGTTGGATAAGACTTCTTTTCGGGCGAGAATTCTCCCTAGACGCCGTATTCGACATGTGGGACGCATTGTTTGCCATTGACTCTACCTTGGAAATTGTCGACATGATCTCGATTGCAATGCTTCTTCGGATACGATGGGACCTCGTGGCAGCCGATACAAACGAAGCCTTTTCCTTGCTCTTGCGGTACCCTGCAGCCGACAGCTCCTGCATATACCCTCATCAAGGATGCCTTATACCTGCGCGACAACCTGACCCCAGAAGGTGGGGCTGAGATCATCTCACGATATGGAAAACAGGCTCCAGCCATTGAACCTGAAGCGCCAACATTCATCCGTGAATCCTCACCGTCCCCATCGCTCTCCTCACATCGAACACGCCGCAGTATAGGTTCACCGATAAGTTTCGTGGGTCAGCAAGGATCAGGCCTCGAAGCTATGCTCCAAGGTGCGGCGAAAAATGTGTTTGAGCGTGGGTCACAGTGGGGTGTTGGGAAAGCTATAAGAGAAGCAGTAGGGGAAGTAAAAAAAAACGTCGAGGCCTATCAGTCTGCAGCAAATTCCGGCCACAGCACACCAAGAGCCGGTGGACGAGAGTTCCGCAAACCAGCACAGTCAGCAACACCCATCAGTTCTCCACGACCGGGCCTGGATCGAAACAATTCTGCAAACGTGGCACGAAAAGTCGAAGGCCTTGAGAAGAGAAATAGGAACTTGGCGAAGATGCTTGAGACGGTGGTTGGTGAGCTTTGGGAGCACCATAGAGAGCGGACCGAAGAGCATAGTACACAAGATGAAGATGCGAAAGGAAAGGAGGCGCTGGAAGCACTGAGTCTTGCCATCGCAAAGGTGCAGTTCGTCCAAGTCTACCTCGAGGACTCATCAATACCACTTCCTGAGGAATCGACAGAGCAGGCGGCGAGTGAGAAGGCTGCAGAAACTCTGGCATTGCCTGCACCAGCAACGCCACTGCCAGACCGTACTCCCAGTACTCCCCGAGTGTCAGTCGACGCACCTTCAGAGCCTGCACCTGCACCAATCTCCGCCCCAGAGTCGATTCACTCACCCGCACCCAGTCCGCGCCCGATGACGCCACCAGTTGTAGCCAAGCCAGCACAACCGCAGCCTAACATGCACCTCTCGCCACGCTCAAGACCACATCTTACCTCCTCAAACTTCTCATGGATGCTAGGCGAGGACTCGGCAACGTCAAACTTTGCATCAGGCACAGCACACTCGACATTTTCGTCAGACGAGAAGAGACGAATGAAAGGTAAAGGGTTCTTGTTCGGCGACGAAGATGAAGATGACAGCAGTATTGTAAAGGACAGCAAGAGAGGCAGTGTCGCCGGCAAGAGCGGGAAGAGCACGAAGAGCAAGCATGTTCCGGAACACGAGGTCGAAGAGGAGATCATCGATCTAGACAACATGGAGAAGAGGGGCGTATTGTAGGACGGTACCGCTGTATGTACGCTTCCTGCACCAGGTTGACTATTGTCTTGTACAGCAGCAACACGTAACATATCTCCGAGGCACAAATCGAGCATTTACAACGCATCCCTCTTGCCGATCAACTTGAGCTAGCATCACGTTCACTGCGGTCAGCGCGGCACGCGAGTGCTTGGATGGTGGCGAACATGCTATGCCTCCAACCCACTTTACCCCACAACCAAACACGTAGGAGGCGTCCCAATGTCTATACCAGCTCCAATCTTATTTGAAGAACATCATGCCATGCCGCTCCGTATGTCAGACGAGCAAAAACAAAGCACAGATAAGCTGACCTCTGCAAAAGCTAACCATTAACATGTAGATAATCGATTTCGTCACCTTGGTATAGCGAGAATTGCTACAAACCGACAACGGACCCCGCCAAGTCGATGCAATATACACATTCTTTCATCCAGCATCCTTCTCAACAACACCTTTCGCGCCTTCCTAAAGTCTAGGAGTAGACCCTCTTCTACTGCAACGCGATTCCCACCCCTCCCAAACTGCATGCAGTAAGCCGCCGCTGGACCCACCCACATCACCCACGAAACTTGCTCAAACAGGGCTAAGCACCTCGGGCGCGCATCCACCATGATACCCTCTATTGGCGGCTAGGCTTCTGGGTGCGGCAATCGGCGCTTCAATTGTCGGCAGCGGTTTGTCACCGGTGGGAGTGGTGGGAGGGATAAATAAGGGTGAGGTGACCCCTCACTTAAAAAGCTACCCCTCTTGTCACAAGATACAAACCACAAACCACCAAAAACTTTTTTTCAAACCACGAATACCGATATATTTATTCATCATGTCTGGCTGCGGAAACTCTAGCTGTGATTGCGGTGGATCCTGCACTTGCGCGCAGGGAAGCTGCACTTGCGGAAAATGTAAGACCATTGTACATACATGCCGTAGTTGAGCACATGCTAAATGTGAGGATAGAAATCCACCCCTCGATACATTACCACCTGTACGATGCGATGAGATCAAATTACACCACGCCCTTTCGACGACATACTCTTTTCGATCGGTTCACACCTTCATTCACTATGCCGGACCTACGATACTTTTGACGAGGAAGCGGGGAGGGAGATATAGTCATACCACACCAGAAATGAAATGAAATCAAGTCGGACAATTATGCATCATGGGGATGATGTGACGCCCACGGTCCAAAGTGTATCCTACTCTATCGACAGTGGAGCGTGTCCTCATGTCCCCAGCCATCTCACCCTCATCTATCTTCAACCTGTGTGCTGCCCTACCTTTGTCCATGCTCCCTCTTCTCTTCTTGCGTCCACAGCCCTCCGATGCACTTGTTGTTTTTGCAGATGCTCGTCCTTCATGACTTCAGCGTAGTCTATGGCCGCGTTGCGCTCTTGCTTGAGGATGTTTTGGCGGCTTGCTTCTTCGTCGGATTCGCATTGCGAGTTTCCCATGGCGTGCCAGGTGGTGATATTTAGGAGGGGGGGGTTGTGCGGACGTGTTGATGAAGGCTTGAGAAGTTTAAATGGGCGTTGCTGGATGGTTTGGGAGATGATACACGCGGTGTACGTAGGGGTCTTCGATAGTATTCACAAGCAACATGTGAATGCGCTCTTCATCTACGAGCAAGTCACAGAGTAGAGTACGATTCACAAGATCTCAATCATTTATTCCAACACCAAAAACCAATGGGGTATCTCATACGCGCGTATTCTCGCGAAAGCAAAAACGCCTTTCCCTTTCAATCCCCACACCATCACTCGACAACTCATAAGCATCTGCGCTTGAGCTACACACCTAGTGAAAGCTCAATTCATCCTCGCTTCCATCGTCGTCGCTATCGTTCACAACACTCTGTCGAACCTTCCACCACAGCTTGCCTGCATTCCTGCTGCTCGTTCGCCGCTTAGCGACGGGGCGGGCTGGTGTGATGCCCAGGTCGTCACGCTCGTCTTCTGCGCCATCGTATGGGGGTAGGGCGCGATGAGGTCTGCCTTTGGAACGTCGACTTGGCAATTTCTTGGGCGATGACAGAGCATTACTGGACGAGGCTTCGCTTTCAGACTCGGAGTCTGGATCATCCCTGGTGCTAGTACTAATGGTGCGCTGTTGGATGCGTGGTAGTCTGCCTCGGGGATGTCTTGCTGCTGGTTTCTCTGGATGAGGCAGTGATTCAGTATCGCTGCTCACGCTGTCCGAATCAGAGTCTGAGTCTTCGCTAGTGCTGGCATCGATGGGGAGCGGCTCGACGTATGTCTTGCGCTGTTGGGTGCGCAAGCCGCTATCGAGAGACGTGCGGGATCGCTGCGTGCGCAGACGCGAGGTGAGCTGCTTGATCTCGTGTGTGCTGCGACGAGATCGTCTCGGACCGTCCTGGATTTCTTCTGGGAGATCTGGATAGAATGTGATGGGTGTGTCGGGTGGCGTCAGTTTGGTACGTTTAACTAGTACCATGGGAGACGGAGCACGTTGGCGTTTGCCAAGTGATGTGACTGAGAGACGCGGTACCTTCTTGATGGGTGATGACTGTGCTGGCAGGTCGTCGTCTTCGTCGGCATCTAAGGCCGTAGTGTCCCATATAGCGCTATCGTCTGGTAAAGCATCCTCATCATCAGACTGTGCTGGTGTTGGTAGCAGCTCGAGAACTGTCATGGGCTTGCGAGCCATGCGCTTGACACCAGGCGTACACGCGACCCACTCGCCGATTCCCTCTTCCCATCTGAACCCTCCTCCAGCTGATGACGGGGAATCATGCTTCTGTGGTGAAGGGACGATGACTAGCTGGCCTTGGGTGCGCATCTTCTGCTCGATGATGCGGGCATAGGTATGGTGCTCTGATACGCCCATGTCCTGAGCAAATTCCACTGCTGACTCGAGGGCAAGGCGCTTAAGCGTCCAGAGTTTGTGAGGCAAGCGATAGCCTGAGAGCGATAGCAAAGCCTGAACAAGTCGCTGTAGTTGATCGAAACCATCGTCCTTCCAGATTCGGCCAGTGCCACGAGCTACAGATGATACCAGCGCAGGAAGGCCGCCGAGAATAGATGCTATGTTGATGCCGTTCGACGCGTATTGAGCAGTCAGCCAATTGAGCCCGTGGACAAGGCCAGAGAGTTCGAGCGACACAGTACTAGCTTCTACTGGGCACTTATCGAGATGAACGAGAAAGGATGCGAATATGGTCCAGGTTGCTCGTTGCAAGAATGTCTGCGCATCATCCTGGTGTGCTTCCAGAAGCTGGACTTCAGATCTGATATTACTCCGGCTCAACATGACTATTACGACAGCATCGAGCATCCAAGTTACTCTCCTTGCGATACTGCGTCCTGCGTCATCATCACGGCTGTTATTAACAAGCGCGATACTGCACATGACCGTCAATAAGCTCGAGTAGGTGGTGCTCAGTGCGAGTCGAAGCTCTTCTCTCGACGAGGGCACGAAGCGCCTGACGCTGGTTGTCTCGTCGGCCAGGAGTCGTTCATCGGGCAGGCCCATACCAGCGAGGGTGACGATTTCGAAAAAGCGGTAAGCATGTGCTATCGTCCGGTGATCGTTGCTCGAAGTGCTCCGGACCACTCTATCCCAGACTGGTCGCATGCACTCGGTGGCCAACCATTCTAGTGGCAGGAGCTCGTGCGCGATCATATGCTCCAGAAGGTCAAACAGCAATCTGTGTCGTCCGGTGTGGTCGACAAAGCTCTTTACTGCATAAAGATATGGCGATCTCTGTGCGTCGAAAAGGTCTGCTTTGATGTTGATGGGTATTGATGGTGCCTCGATTAACGGCAGGTAGGCGAGAAGGAGACGCTCGGCCTCGTCCCATGCGGAGACCCTGACGCAGTGGGTGACTAACATCGACATGCTGTCGAGCCCGACAATCTCGTCTGTGATAGCATCGCACAATAACGACGTCGCATGGGCTCGAAGAACCTGCTTGAAGGGACGCCATCCATTTCCTGGCCGCTGCTCGAATTGATTTTCAAGATGTTCGTAGATCTCGCCTCCAATGTCCCGCTCCTCATCCTCATCCTCTTGTTCTCGGTCCAGCTTTGCAAAATGCTCCTCGAGCTCGATATATGCAGGCAGTCTTCGCAGACACGCGGCCATCAAGGAACGTGTCCCCTTCCAACACTTCTCATCGCCGTCGGTCGTCGCTTGGAGAACGTTGGCGTAGGCCTCGGATACACCCTGAACAAGTTTGCGAAGGTCCCCAGGAAGCTGTGTCCAGTCGATGTTGACTTGGAGGGGGCCCCGATTCTTGCCGTGCTTCTTCAATGGCGAGTTCTGAACGTGTGGACTGCTGTGTAGCTGGCTGCTCATTCGAGCCACCAGAGGGGTGAACGCGATCTCCCCGGGACGGGTTACACGAGTAAGCCCTGCACTGTCTCGCTGGAGACATGCTTCTTTCCTTGCCCCTCGGCCTCCATATGTCTTTTTGCTGCCCCTTCCTGTCGGCTTCCCGTCCGGTCTCCAGTCCGGATCTCTAGCCTTCTCGAAGCCTCGAGGCTTTTGCGCCGGCCGGGTAAAGTTTGTGGTCTTTCGTGGGGAGCACTTCGTCGCGAAGGCTGTAGATGCGCTGCGTGTGTCTATACCTGCGGAACGTGGGCGCTCGAATTCAGCTCGAAGCTTCGCGAGCTTGGATGAGATGGGTCGAAGGAGGCGGTTGCATCGTGAAGTAGTCCAGGGGAGCTCATCGGCCATGGCTTGTCGTAAATATATGAATCAATACATAAGGTTTGTATCGTATGCAATGCTAATTGGTGCTCATGAAATATGGTATTGCGACGTCGAGGCTATGCTGTCGTCGTCATGCCGAATGTTCTTTGGTGTTTGTTGCCAAACATCGGCCATCGGCGTTGAGGGCCTTGGCGCGTTCTGGAACGCTAACCATATCGCGACACGAGCTTTCACCACAACCTGCATCTTTGCCATTGCTCTGCCCTGGCTATCGCAACATGCTGTATATGCAAACACGTTTATTGAGTGCAGTGCTACCTGTTGCAATTACATGGCTGCCGTAGTGCTTGTGTGCGCGACATGATCAATTTCGAAGAAGAGAATTACTCCATTGACCCTTGTGCTCATGGAAGAGCTTGAAAAGTCTGGCGCCATTGTTCCTCAACGGTTGAGGTTGTTACGTTTTGCGGCCTCTTTGACGGCCCTTCGACACCCTGCAGTGTTGTTGCGGCGCGTACACGAGTAAGCTTACTATGCCGGACCTTGGTCCAGAATCGAGTAGGGACCCGAGATTCTGGCACTCTCTCCGAATAGCAACTCCGCTGACACCCCTGATGCTGTAGAAGTTCTGAACATAGAATATACGAGTCCTTCATCTCAGACGCCCCAAATAGTCATCAGCGTGCATTCCTCCCTAACAAACAGGCGTGCAATCTTTCGCACCAAGCAAACATGCACAAACCGAACGGACTCAACCTTGCAGAACTGTCGACACTCTTCCTTACAGAACACAATATCGTCATCGCGTGTTAGCGGATCACCAACGCAGGAACTCCCGCAACGAAGGTTCTGACCTGCGCTGCGCCGCCGGGCTACATAACTGGCTGGTTAAGCGAGATAGCGAACGTCGCAGGTACTGTAGGTGATTTGATGCCGCGGATCGAAAAACACATCGGGCAACGCATCGCCGCCACTAGAAGTCGTGGCAGGCGGTGCAATTATTGCCCAGGGACATCGCTGATCTTGGCTGTATGATGAAGATTACGTCGGAGTTTGGTCCTTAGTTGGCCTGCTCCGTATCCCATCGTGTAATCATTCCAAGCGCCCAGATGGCGTTTCGTAGTGCTCACTCGTCAGCTTTATTGCAAGCACATGATTGACATCGGGCTGAACGATAACGAGCAATCAACATACGATAAGAGTTCTGCGAAACGCTGGGCTGTTGAGCGGGTTTCGAGACCCTGGATCTTCCCAGTGGACATGAAGAGTCCTCATTTGCTTGAAACGTCGGTTATTCTGTCAGCGGCTCGCGAAGTTTGTAGGGATGCACAACACTGGTATTCGGGTCGCCTTGCTTCGAACTGCGTGCGGAGTAGGCTACACAAGTGTAGAGATGTTGAAGATTGGTGCGTAAGTTATCGGGTGGCGAAGATGGAATCTTGCATGCTGCATGCAGCGAACGGAGCTATCGATTAGAATTGCGACATCCTGTCGAGACCATTGGAGGGATTCCCTATGTTCTTAGAGTGTTTGTTTGTTGTTGAATTTCCGCATGCATGTCTCAATGCTGTAACCACAGAATTTGATGGAATGAGCCTACCGGCGCCCAGCAACCGCAGCAGCAGCTCTCGACCGCTCTGTCATTTCTTCAAGGCAACATCCGGCCAACATGTTGTCTGCCGTGAGGCGTGCACAGGCTAAAGCGGGAATGAGGTTCTGTGGCCGGGATAGATGCATCCTGGGATGCTCTGTCAAGTCTGCAGCGGAAGGCGAAGTGGCTTGGTGCGAGAAGAAGCCGTGGAACATCTCTGCGCTCTCGATCCCTGGCATTGAAGTTGGGTTGTGAGGTACTCAGTATGCAACAAGAAGCGCGCCACGGTGGCTTGGTGGCAGTCATAAGAGCGAAGGTTCCATGCGCATCTACGTCTCGCAAGGCGGGTGGTACCACAAAGGCCTAGAATGGTGGCGGCAATGCGTCATCTGCCAGGCGAAATCACGAGAGCATGGCCTAGATTTTGTTTTGAGCCTGAGACGCTGCATGGCTTCCCCAGACTGTCAATGCCAACCCGAGCTTGGCCGTGTTTGCATTGAATTGATGTTTGCATTGCAAACAGGCGTTGCTCTGAGACAGACTGCTCCCTTGAGATCTTGACAGCTGAGTAACATGGACTTGACAGGTCAGATTGCGACTGAAACACAGGCTCAAAGCAGCATTGGCAGCGTCAGCCCACACCAATCGACCTGTTTCCCGTGCAGGATGGCCTGGTCCGAAGGGGTTGCTTGAAAAAGCATGGCCGCTGTCAGGAGCATGTGTCTGCTTCATGTAGAGAGGAGGAAGCAAAGTTTGCAAAGGCTATCCATGGCAACAGCGATACACGGCATTGAAGGTCGGAGGCGCCCGCTCTCAATCGTCCACCAATGCACTCGGAAAACAGAGCGTACCGCACGTAGTGGGATTCGGGCCGTTGAAAGAAGTCCGAGGTGCTGCAGTGCTGTGCAAGGAGTCTGCCTGGCGTGGAGGCGCTCTGTACATTGATGCGTGCGCAAATGACGGGAGGGCCACCGCTTTCTGGGGCAGTGAGTGCGGAAACGGCCTGTCTGTTCCACGATACGGGAGGGAACGTTGCAGGGCGGTGGGGACGCGGGCGGTTCATCAGTACAGTGCGCGACGGTTTTCCATGAATCACAGTGAGCGTCGCAATGTCGAGGTCAGTAGGTGCCATGACGCACTCGGCAGGCTCGCAGTGAGGACGATGATTCGGAGCGATGAAACGACAATTCCGCAAAGACGTGCGGGTGGCTTACGCACTGTCGTTTCAACTTCCGAGGGCATGGACTAATCGCAGGCGGTGCCGTGCATGACTTCTGGGGCCAAGTCCCTGTCTAGTGCGGCCAGGGGGGCTGGCCAATCCTGCAGCCGCCAGTCGTACCACAGCCCGTTTACAATCAAACCAAACCTCCGCCTGTCTCCCTTTCCTATCCACTTGGCCCACGTTAGCATACATTTGCTCTCGTTCCTCGCACACTCATTCACTGCAGTCATTCCTTGAGCGCCGCTTCTCTTCTTTTCGCGTTTCTGTCGCCGCGTGCCAGTCTCGCTTGCCAACCGGCTTGTTGCAATATATCCCCTGGCTGAGATAAACCACATAAGGACCTATCGCCGCATCCCGAATCTTCCGCATCCGGCTGCATTCTCTGTCACCTGCACGACGACGCTACCCTTGCTTTGCCTTCCAGATTAACACGCCTCCTCAGACCGGAGACGAAGGCTGGCGAGACTGCCTCCGACGTCAATTGCGCTTGCATTGCGCCTGCCGGTAGCCCTTGTGTCCCCGTCCTGCATCCAGTCGCCTAGGGTAGTTCAATTTGCCTGAGTGAGGCCTGGTCACGACGCACATACACATCGATCCAAGGAAAACGCCGCCCACGCTAGTCTTTACGAATCCAGACCGATTGTTCTCGTTCGTCACTGTGCCGATTCTGTCGTTTGCTGGTCAAGACAGGATACCTCGCTACATATCGCGAGCCCCCACCCGCATAGCGCACACGACTACCCCGGACTCTTTCAGATCATCATTCAGACCGCCCCTCTGCGGTACTTAGGGTCTCTCCCTTGGACTACTAGTCAATCTTGCTCCACCTCTTACCTCCAGTCCAAACTTCACAATGACTTTCTCTCAGACCATGGGAGGTCTTGCCAAGCGTGCAGGAGGAGGACATGACGAGGACCCAACCGCTGGCCTAGAGAACGTCGACGTACAGCGCTACCTCGGTCACATCTGGTGGGCGATCGTCCTAGTATTCGCCCTCTATCAGGCCGTTCTCTTCTTTGCACGATACATCCGAACAGTGACCTGCTTGGGAAACGAGACTCAAAGATATTTCGCCATCCCCAACTACTACTACGCCAGATTCAAGAAGTCATGTCTGGACGCTCCATTGTTCCGCACCCGCCACCACCGAGAGTTCAAACTGTCATCCGCCATTGGTGTTGGCACTCTCCCCAGTCGTCTCCAAACCTTCTTCCTCGTGGGTTACTTGGCCGTCAACATCGGTTTCTGTGTCTGGAGGATCGACTACAGCAGCTTTTCCTCAGGTGCTGGTGAGCTCCTCAGCCGCTCTGGTATCATGGCAGTGATCAACATGATTCCCCTTTTCCTGCTAGCTGGGCGCAACAACCCAATCATTACGCTCACTGGCATTTCCTTTGACACCATGAACCTAATTCACCGTTGGTTTGGACGCATCGTCGTTCTCGAGGCCGTTGCCCACACGGTCTGCTGGATGGCAAACAAAGTACATACCAGTAAGTCTGTCCACGCAGATCTCGAACGTACACTAACGAAAATTCAGAGGGCTGGGCCGTTGTTCAAAAGTCAATTACTGGAAGCGAATTCATCATGACCCGGCTTCATCGTGAGTCCACCTAGGGACATGCCCAAGATTGATAGCTAATATTGGCCAGGGAACTTGTGCCTTCGTCTTCCTACTGATTCAATCGCCATCACCTGTTCGTCACTCGTTCTACGAGGTCTTTCTGCACGGTCACATTGCTGGCGCCGCACTTGCGCTTGGTGCCGTGTGGGTGCATCTGAAGGAGCGTCCCCAGCAGTTCATGCTGTACGGTGTGCTTGCTCTTTGGGTCATGGAGCGCACGATCCGCCTCGTTCGCCTTATCCTACGCAACGTTGGAAGTGGTGGCACCCAGGCTGACGTCGAGGTTCTGCCCGGCGACGCGCTTCGCGTCACTGTACGCATGGCTCGCCCGTGGACATTCCGCCCAGGACAGCACGCCTACCTCTACATGCCCTCTGTCGGCCTTTGGACCAACCACCCGTTCTCTGTCGCGTGGAGCGAGGAAGAGGATGACCTCAGCGTTAGCTCGTCCATCGCTGATGAGAAAGGCCTACCCATGAATCGTCAAGATATCCTTGAGCACAGCAAGACAAGCATGTCATTTATCATTCGTCGACGAACTGGATTTACCGACAAGCTTTTCAAGAAGGCAGATCTATCTGCTGCCGGCAGATTCTCCACCTCGGCATTCGTTGAGGGTCCATATGGTAAGTGCCGGAGATCTTCTTACCCCATGTTTCCTCAATCTACTTCGTAGATTAATCTATGTCCACCCATGCTAACACAATGACATAGGCGGCGAAGATCTCAGCTCCTATGGCACAGTTATGCTCTGGGCTGCTGGTATTGGTATCACTCACCAAGTTCCCCACGTGCGCGACATCGTTGCCGGTTACGCAAATGGCACCGTTGCCACTCGTCGCCTTACCCTTGTCTGGATCATTCAATCGCCTGAACACCTCGAGTGGATTCGAACATGGATGACGCAGATCCTCGCCATGCCCCGCCGTCGCGAGATTCTCAAGATCCTGCTTTTCGTGACCCGCCCCCGCCGGCAAGGAGAGATCCACTCTCCATCATCAAGCGTGCAGATGTTCCCCGGTCGACCGAACGTTCAAAGCCTTGTCGACCAAGAGATGCAAGAAGGCATTGGTGCGGCCTGTGTCAGCACTTGTGGTACTGGCGGACTGGCTGATGAGCTCCGCCGCGCCGTCCGCAACCGCGAACTCCAATGGAATGTTGACTTCCGTGAGGAGTCCTTCTCATGGTAGAAGCCTCCTTTCTATACTTTTCCGGTCTGTCTCTTCGGTATACCCTCATCACGAACCAGTTCCTCGACGTCAGTGTCATCTGTCTCCCGCCATCTCATCAGATCTTGTCAATATGGTTGAATCTGATGGGAACATTTGCTCCTTCCTTGTACACATTACCTCTTCTTTTCGTACGACATAGTTCGTCCTCTTATCTTACACTCCTTGCATATTTTGGCGGCACGAAGACAAAATCACCTGAACGGATGAAAGGCACTTAGGTAGTAAGTGACCCATCATGGGCACTTGAATACAAATGCCATGTGTTAAAAGAATCATTCCTTTTTCGGTCGAATGACGGTGTCGCGGTGCTCTGGCACGAGCTAGTGTCTATTGTATATACTTGGTACTGTCTACATGACAACATGATGATCAACAGCTATGTCTTCAACCAGTCTTCTCTCTGTCTCTGCTATCCCGTGCATCCCCTCGTCGGCATCCTCAAAATCACAGTGCATCCTCACTCGATCAAAGTTCTCAATCATCATTGCGCCATTGAAACGCTGACATCGCCATGCCCGCAGTCAGTGGCGCACACAACCTTCCGCCCCCACGAACCTTTCGCATCAAGGAGCAAAGACTACATCATACACACCATACCTCCAGGACTTCTGCAAGACGCAAGATCCAGCATGCTATGAAACACGGCAACGGCCCGCCTCAGCACACCGTCGATCCCTCGAACGCTCACGCACTTCCAACCAGTCAAAGACCTCCGCACATCACTTTTTCACGGCTCAGCCGTTGATTAGCAGCTGTTGAGATGCACTACGTCTTCCCGCCTGCCGTGAAGATCTCACCGCTTGTTTCGGGGACGCTCGATCTCGCCGTGTGTTGCGCGTCTCTCTTGAGCAGGCGTCGTAAGCACTGGATCTCGGAGTTTGTGAGGAGATCCGGTGTGCATGCATGAGGCGGGTTGGTGCATAGGGTAAATGGAAGAGAAGAGAGAGAGGTGTGCGTGTTGGTCAAATGAGTGGAATGGGTTGGAGAGGGAGGATGGGGAGGGTGGTGAGGAGTGCGAGTAGTGAAGGGTAGGAGTGTTTTTGTGTAACGTCAGATTTGAAGATGCGATGTTAATGTTTTGTAGATTAATTCTCAGCATAGTGTAGGAGACCTTTTGCACAGGAGTCAACGTATTCACTTGATCAGAACATGAACACAATCTCAGTTCCACAATCTCTCATTTTCATGTTTCTATTACCAGACGCCCACAGCGTTTCCGAACACATCTACTCCCACGCAATTCCCTCATCTCTTCCAGCAAAGCCAACCCCGACAAACTTGCTCATCCTACAGACTATCTCCTTGGGTCGTAGTATACGGCCGCAGCGACTTGCACTGCGCCCAACGAGCCTCCCCAACACACAGCTCCAAATATCGACCACCACACCGTTGTTGGCACATGCGCAAGCGTTGCAGACAAACGGGAAAACTTCCGCCTCCGCCTCCACATCCATGTGATGACGAGAAGAAATGAGAGTCGAACGGCATCAGCTCCGGATCGCCCTGCATTATACCTGTCCTTGTGATAACACACAAACGGCTGATTCAAGCCGCCAACGACGTGCATTATCTTGCTCGTACGCCACGCTACCTTCCCGTATGGGTCTTGCTGCAGCAGAGGATTTATAAGAGTTTGTCATTCACGATCGCATGTGAAATTAGGCTTTTTACCCCCAGCGTCACCCGCACGCTGGCTTGCCGGGACAACCGAGCCAGTCAGGGAGAGACATGGGAGTATACACAGCCGAGCCAGTGAAAGTCTGACATGGCAATATAACCCACATGCTAACTGCCAATGGAAAGTATCAAAATCAAGGAATTATTAAATGAAAAGTGACACTTGTTCGGTACTTTGGCCGTGCGTGCGCAAACGAGCTGTGTCTTTGTGGAGTGCAGTTCGTATACATGAACGCGTTGGTTTACCTGGTTCGAACGAATATGGGTACCGAGTGCGCCGAGAACGAGGGGAGTTTTGATTCAGGGTTTGTGGGGTACATAGATGAGAGAGCACGCGGTATATGTTGTGGCGTATGCAGTATGACTACTGTGCGATATATTGGGGTACATGTGAAGGGCTTTGGGCATCGTGGCTATGCTGGAGAAAGTGAGAGAGTATTGGAATGGGATGGGATGCAAAGCTGCGGTGGGTACGAAGTGAATTGGGCGCGTGATCGTTGCGCTTTGAGATTATGCAGGAAGGAAGATAGTGAGAGTATTGGAATATTGGGTGGTCGGCTTGAAGTATGGATTTGGCATGTGATTGCTGGTAGCGAAGATGCAAGACCGTTGGAGGCGGCGCATGACTCGATTCAAGCAAAGGCACTCATGCGACTGCTCCCTATCATGCTATGGCCTCTGGACTAGTCGATGTAGCCGCATCCTCAATCGCAAGGCGGTCTTGTATACCCTGCCAGCCCTTGAGTACGACATCAGCCATGACGCTATTCCTGCCGCCCAGCTTCCGGACTGCCTCTTCGACTGGCACAAGATGACTCTCGTATGTCTGCTCTTCCTCATCGACGCCCGTGCCCTCGTGATGCAACGGCTCGTAGGACTCGGGCTCAAGCTTGATACGCTCGCGAAGAGACAGGTTTCGAGGAAAGGCTGGCGGGGGTTTGTATGCTGCGCCTACTTCTGTCTCGAGCTCTGTCTCCAGGTGGGGAGGCAGAGTCTCGGCGATGTACCAATACAACACATACTGCCTAGTTCCGAGAGGCATGAGCTGCATCCAGACGGGTTCAGCGGTCATGGGCTGTGCGTGGACGCGCGGGTGTGCTTGCGGCTGGCGATGTTGGGTGGGCAGTGGGAGAAGACGGTTGCGGTAGCCGCTCTAGAACAAATCTGTCAGCGTCATGGAACTAGTATGGTATGAAAGAATGCACCAACCTCTTCGTATCCTTCGCGCTCTGCACCTGGTCCGCTCTCCTCGCCAGCATCTCGGCGGCCCTTGGGGAGGAAGTAGTACTTAGCACCACGTCGGTCTACAGCGCTGCAAATCACGACTCTACTAGTCGCAAGATGGAAAATGGCTACGCCGCCGCCGACTACGAACTTGTCGCCAGGATACTGGGCAATGAGTGGCGTGAATACACGTGGGTCGTCAGCCATGATAGATGGTTGAGCTCTGGTGTTCCGTCAATCTAGACAGTTGACTCGAGAAGCAAAGCTTTTGCGAGCTCAAGTGATGAAGTTATACAGGTCAGGCGGGTTATGCGAACGGGGACGATGCGCTGTTAGTGCCATCATCACAATGTACAAACGTCGTAGCCTTGAACAGTCGCGTTTGCGTTGATGAATGAGGAGGGGCATGTGGGTCGCAAGCCATGTTGGTTTCTCAGCGCCACACATTTGGCGGGGTAGTTGCAAAAAAATCAGAGTATATATTTTATAATTTTCCTCAGGTTTTCATCAACAGTTGTGAAACTGGCCTAATGGCCCAATGGCAAGGCGCTTGACTACGATTCCGCAGTAATCAAGAGATTCCAGGTTGTAAGTGTCTCGATCACCATAAGCCTAGATTCGAACCTCAACTAACACCATTCAGCGACCCCTGGTTAGGTCACATATCCTTCTTTTTTGCTTTTTGTTTAAGCATATCAGGACTGCGTTTCACTCGCTTACTCACAGCACATTATGCATTTCTTTTTCGATGGTGACTTGACATGTGCTATTTAATCACTCAAGCTTTTCCAAGTTGCCTGCATCTTTTTTTGGTATTCAAGATCCTGATCTAAGAGGCATTTGGTTGAAGCTACTTCCGCAAGCCATCGTTGTCTACACCGAACCTCTAGTAATCTCATTCCCATTCTTTGTGCCTTTCGCTCCATTCCAGATAGTCGACCATGCTTGGTGCTCCCTCCGTCTTTGCCACACCCGTGACCTCCACTACTTAATTTTCACCACCTTCTGAGTGACCCTCTGTCGCTTTGCGAAATCGGCTGTAGGCCAAGCTTGCACCGTGGACGGCTTGCCCTTCAGTGTATGGATTCGGTTCAGCCTCTCAAGAAACTTTCCGCCATTTGACCGGATAATCAGCTTCTCGAGTAGCGGCATCTCCAAGACATCGGGCACAATGGCTGATGCACCTGGTGGGTGGCCCCAAAGAAACCCGTTGTAGTCACGATGGGACGTAATCTCCAGCTTTCGTGTTGGAAACTCAATTGGTGCTAGAGAGGCAAGAAGATCAATCATTTGACCGCGATCCAATCTGCAATATGCGAAGATGAGGACTGCACTGTGGAGCTTGTTCATGTCTAGATCGTCTGACATCAAACACTGTAGGAAGTTAATGGTCTCAGGCGCGAATCGTGTGATTTTGATAACCAAGTGTCGCGCATACGAGCGTGCTTGCATCTGGGGATAAAGCAGCTGCGAAGATGGTGACAATCCTTTGACGCGTAAGTCATGCTTGGAAGGTAGGATTTCAGTTGGTCTAATGGCGCTGCAGGCTTCAGACCAATGACCTACAAGTTCAATATCCATGAAGTTCTTGGCGTAGAAGACTTCTGTGACAAGACCGGCAAGCTCGGAAATGGAAATAAGGGGCAAGACGTGTTTGTGGTATTGTATAGCCCTTAGTTCATCGAATTGACCAGCCAATGTAAAGTCTCGATGATCAAAGAGGTGGCCGGCTGGAAGGACATGACCGAGGATTTGCGCTTTCAATTCGTCAGGAAAGCCTCGCCATCCTGTCAAGAATGCTGTCAACTGCAGTACCAGATCTTCCATGACAGTTGGTTGAACCATGTCTTTGGTGAGCACTAGTCGAGTGATGACCCCGATTGGAAGTTGTTGAGCAATTCTGTTGTGCTGGTTCCCAATGGGGATGATGGTTGCTAGCCAGGTGAGTGATTACATAGCCGGGGCGCAGTCATGATGTTTCGGAGGTCCTATGACTAAATAAACCACTTCTGTCACTTGTAAACGAATGCAGCCTGATCCGTCTTCTGCATGTTTCCAGATAGCTGGCATTGTGTAACGATTCAGGCTAGCTGAAGCGATTCGACGGAAATCCCCGTTGTGTTTCGATTGCAACCCCTGATATTCAAGACAAGCTTCGAGTAATCGTCTCCTATGTTCTTCATCGAGGGCGGTTGTACTCGAACTCGCTCGATTAGACATCTGCACCTAGACACTTTAAGGGTTCATTCCTGACGCGACCTAGGTATTACTTGAGCCACCGGGACCTGCTGCGTCATCAATAGGCATTGGATGGTATCGTCAAGCAGTCATATTGGCGATGAAGAAGTTCGGCGTCCGTCGGGCACAATTATGAAGGAGCCGCGTCAACGCTAAGTATCCTCGGCTTAGTGCCGCATCCCTGACCCCTCAAAACATCAGCTCACCCAACCTCGCCTGCGTATTCTTTTAAGCTCGCATCTTGCAGCAATCGCGCAGGCATATGTAATTGTTGCATCAGATACCGATCAGTGCGCATGCACTTTGCGTCCGCGTAAGCTGCGGGCGTTGGCTGCAACATGTCGTACAACTAAACTACTTGCAAGCTCCACAGGTCACGGAAACTCGCTCTGCTTTATGGTCCTCTTTTCGATCTGTACATACCTATGTTGCCCCTCGATAGTAGCTTCGGGCTCATTAGCCTATTCCTTGGCCAGCTGCAACTGCTGCGGGTATGTAGGAATTGAACCCTGTCTTTCCGAGGTCACAAATGGGACATAGAAGTCCTTTCCTCGTTCAAGATGATGTCATACAACCGCAGACCTATGGGCTTTCTTTGACCCAAGTAGATGTATGGGACGGCCGCTCGGTCGCTGGCCAAGAGGATGCCCAGATCTCATATAGCCGAAGGTACGCAGCTTCCTCTTTAGGCCTCGATACCAAGCTGAGCGACATGACGAATATGCACTTCGACCCCTACCCATGCCGAGAAGTAGGAAGGTCTGTTGCTGTTCCTCACTACTTTTGCTCAAGTGTTGGCTGGGCAAGCGATAAGCTGCTGCCGGCGCATGCAAGTTGAAACGGTATATTTAAGCTCGCATATGCTACACATCAATCGACCAGGGACTCTGCAAAAGTGTTCGGTCCGAAAACCTAGGACAAGTTTCGCACAGCTCTTCCGAACCGCCCTCCCTTCGTCATCGATACCAAGATGAAGTGGACCAGTATTCTTTGTCTGGCGCCTCTTGTAGCAGCATCGCCTCTTGCTGCCAGGGACGCTAATCCGAGCTATGATGGATATCACGTCTATAGCGTTACACCTGCGTCAGCTCAGGAAGCTCATGATCTAGAGAGACGCTTCTCTAGGTACCACACTCACCCCATACGCGATAGTCTGTCCATAGCCATTCCACCAGAAGACGTTGCGCACTTCAACACGCTCGGACTAAATGCACGTCTGCTGAACACCGACCTGGGTAGCTCCATTCGATCGGCGGACAAACCATCAACCTTCAATCGCGCACTGCACAAACGAGGGGAGTTGCCTGATCTCTCATGGTTTGATACATACCACGATTATGCGGACCACTTAACGTGGTGGGACGATCTTGCGCAGGCCTTTCCAAAGAATTCCGAAAAGCTCGAAATTGGCAAGAGCTATGAGAACCGGAGCATTCACGCTTTTCATCTGTTTGGAGATGAGAAGGAGAGCGAAAGAAAGGATAAGCCTGTAATACTCTGGCACGCCACAGTTCACGCGCGAGAGGTAAGTCATCAATCTTGAGCAATTCATCATGTTGGAACTTACCCAAGAATAGTGGATCTCGACTATGGTGATCGAATATCTTGCTTACCAACTTGTTGACGGCTACAAATCTGGCGACGGCAATGTCACATCGTTCTTGGACCACTATGACTTCTACCTTGTGCCATTCCATAACCCTGATGGTAAGCATTTACTGTCTATCTATACACTTGAAGATGCCTTCAAGCTTACTCATCATAGGCTTTCTCTACACTCAAACTAATGACAGACTCTGGCGCAAGAATCGTCAGCCACGCCCTAGCGTGAATACAACCTGTCTTGGGACGGACGGAAATAGAAACTGGGCCACTGAATGGGCAGCTGAGCCTCCGGGCGGCGGTTCTACGCCCGATCCTTGTGGTCAGACCTATCGTGGTCTTGCGCCTGGCGATACACCAGAGAACCAAGCCATGGACGGACTTTCTGCGAAGCTCGGAGCAACCCCTGCAGGCATTCGCTCCTTCATCGACTTTCATTCCTACAGCCAGCTTATCCTAACGCCCTACGGTTACTCGTGCGATCCACTCCCCGAAACCTTACCACGGATGCTGGAAGTCGCGAATGGTACAGCTCAAGCAATCATGGCTGCGAGCGAACGTGGCAGTATTTACGACTTCGGTCCTGGCTGTCAGATTCTGTACTTTTCGACCGGTAACTCTAGGGATCATCACTACGTTGCGCATGGCGCCAAACACTCGTGGACTATGGAGTTGAGCCCACAAGATGCGGCAGGAGGGTGGCTTCGTCTTGCCACCAGAGGAGATCTGGCCAGTAGTGAAGGAACAGTGGGCCGGTCAATTATGGACACTGAACAATGTTCGGGAAGACTAAATTGGAACTGAGAATAGATATTGTGGCAAGTAATGACTAAGCAATCAGGCTGTCGAATCAATCGACTTGAATATAACCATACTTTCCGGGGCCATTTTCAGCAAGGGTGCAAACACTTCACCGCAGGAACCATTTTGTATTCTGTCACGTACCACCTTATTTCTTGCAAATTACCGCAATATCGAGCAGAGGCCACTTGTATGACACAAGAAGGATTGGTCTAGAATGAATTGTGGACTATTGAGAGAAGGTGCTCACGTGGAATGGTGGCATGTCGTCAAATGTAGCACGGTATGCGTCATAGAGGCACAGATGTACGAATGCTGTCACATTTCCTATTTTGGCATAGTCCGTTGTCGTGATTCTCGCACGCTTCGCGCGATGTGCAGGAGTCGGCTGCTGTTATCCCAAGTCGAAGCGTGCGGAAAAATGTGGAGAGCCTTACCGTGCACGGACACCGGGCGCCTAGAGACACTAGGCGCCTACCTAACAATATTATCGTGATCTTAAACTTAAAGCTATATAACGCTATATAATAGCTTTATATATATAAAAACGTAATATAGCAGTAATTAGATACTTATAATTAATTTATACTATCTAAATTTACTTAGAAGCTTAATATTATAGCTATATAATATTACTTAGATTAGTAGAGAAGATAGAGTAAGTTAAACTTAAGTAGTAGCTATTTTATCTACTACTTATTTTTAATACTTTTCTTTAAAGAAGACTGCTTATAAAGCTTTATACTTACCTCTTTAGAATAATTATATAGCTTTCTTAGTATTATACTACTATTTTTAATGCTTATATTTAGCTTATTTTTTAGCTTTCTTCTTCTCTCTTACTATCTTAAGTTTCTACTTTTTTATATACTTCTCTTTAAGCTTAACTTAATACTAGGCTAGTAAATAGATATAGATAACTTATATATAGGTATAAGTTAAGATATAGTTAAGTATAGGTTAACTAAGGTTAAGTTAATACTAAGACTATATAAGTTAAGATTAAGTATTATATAATAAAGTTAAGTCTAAGTTAAGTTATTCTACTATAAAGTTAAGTTATAGTTAAGTTTTAGAGTACTTAATAAATTATAAGTAAACTAAGCTTATTTTAGAAGATGCATATATTATTTATTCTATATAATTATTATATTAATTCTAGAAGATATATATATTATTTATTCTATGTAATTATTATATTATATTTTTAGTTAAGATAGTAAATATTATAATTAATATAAGAAATATATTATTTGCTAACTATACTTCTTTATTATGCTTATTAGCATAGCATAATAGCCTTACTTATTTCTATAGTAGCTAGGCATAATATAAAGAAGTACTAGAGCTCTATTATATAATATATATATTATTATCTTTATTCTTTTTTATACTACTTTAATATATACTTTTACTTTTATCTAGCATATAAATAAAAAGTAGTAATATAAGAAGATTATTTATCTTCTTATTTAGTAGCAGAGTATTATTTGCTAAAGATAGAGAAAGTAATAAGTTACTTATTACTAAAAAAGTAAGTATAGTTAAATTCTTCTTTATCTTAATATCTATATACTTTTTCTTATTTATTATCTTATATTTAAGAATTATAATATCTTAGATAGACTAGGCGTTTAGTTTATACTAGTAATCTCTAATTATTTTTTTTATAGTATTAAATACTTACTCTATACTAATCTGCGTAATCTATACTGCTAGTATATTCTTAGTAACCTAAGTAAGCTAAGAATATAAACTCTTATTTAATTTCTACTATGCTAGTATATTAATGCTATTCTTATTATTAGAAAGCTTAATTATAAGCATTATAAGATAAGATTTTCTCTTATCTTATATAAATAGAAGCTTATCTTTAGCAGTAGCTAAGAAGCTACTAGATAGTAACTATAAAAGTAATAGTAGCTTATAAAACTACTTTAAAGATAATTATTATAAGTTATTTATTAGTATAAGTATAGAAGTTCTTACTAGTAGAGCATTATAGCGTTTAAGATATTATAGAAATAGTTCTTAGTAGGTATATTTATAGTATAGCTTCTATAATAAGTTCTAGCACTATAGTAAGTTAGCACTATAATAAAATAGCATAATAAATATACTTTATATACTATAAGCTTCTTACTTAGATCTAATATAGTTACTATATTAAAAATAACCTTTCTCTTATTAGCTATTTAAGAATAATACTTCTTTAGTTTCTCTTAACTCTTTTCTATAGTAGCTCTAATAACGTCTAGCTATAGAGTACTATTTACCTTAACGCTATTCTTCTCTAGGCTAGATTTAATATTATCTAGAAAATTAAATAGCTAGTTATAACGTATTCTACTAGTGCATAGGTTAACCTAGCGTATAGGTTAGTTTTACTAAGAATATCTTCTTTCTCTATTAACACAAAATATCTTAATAATAATATATAGAATTAAGTAACTAAGAAGATAGAATTTAGCTTACTCTTTCTGCCTATAATATATATTAATTTTAAAGCCTCTAATGCGCTGCTATAGCATTTAATATACTCTATTTAACGTTAACTTACTAATATAAAGAAATTACGCATCTCTTAGAAACTTATAACTTATATTATAAGCTTACTATAACTAAAGAGCAGATAATTATCTAATATATACTTAACTTTAATTTGCAAGAATTTGCGCTCTAGCTATATAAAGTAGCAGATATAGCTAATAAGCTACTAAGTATAAAAAGTAGTAAGCCTATTAGTAAGTACTAAGCTAAGTACTTTATAATATATTTATCTAAGCTTAAGATAGCTTTTAATTAAGCTAGAGAATAGGTAGAGAATACTCTAGAAAGACCTAGAGATTATTAGCATATAGTTTAAGCTTATAGAAGAGACTATAGCTAAGTATAGCATCTACTAGAATAATATGTATAACTTTAATAAGACTAGCTTCTAGATAAGTATAATTAGCTCTATAAAGATTATTATAAGCATAGAGAGACGCGCTTAACCTAAGCTTATTTAGCTAAGTAATTATAAGTAAGTTATAGTAATCTAGAGTATCTATGCTACTAAGTATATAACTCTGCTTTTTATTATCTATAAGAGACGTATCTATATCTTAGTATAGTATAAGAAAGCTTTAATACTATATAATTAGAAGCTATTAGTCTCTAAGAATAGCTAGATAAATAATGCGCTTAGTCTAGAGTAGTTAAAGTATTTTAACGTATATATAAAAGCGCATTAGATAGAAGAGTATAGGCTACTTATCTTAGACAGCTATAAGAGCTATCTTAACTAGAATTTTAAGAACTACTACGTTAAGAATAAGATCTTAAATCTCTATATACTAGCCTATTTATTATATATTCTCTAGCTACTTAATATAGTCTATTTTTTGCTATTAAAGCGCAAGTACTCTAAATATATCTAGAACTTAGTATAGAAATATATCTTCTATATTAATAAGAAAGGCTTTCTTCTTATCTTTAAAGATATATTTTTTAATATATTTATAAAAGAGAACTATTAAAAGGCCTTTAAGGCTTTAGAACTTATTTCTATTAATGCGTAAGTAGTATTAGATTATCTTAAAGTGCGCCTATATACTCTACTAGAACCTCTCTTCTTAGCAACTCTATAGTAGTTAAAGACTCTAAGCAATACTTATAAGTTTAAATCTTAGTTAAAGCTAGTACGTAATACCTTACTTTAGTTACTTATTATAGCCTAGGCTAGTTTCTTTTAGCTTATAAAAAGTAGTAAGCTAATACTATATAAAAATGCTCTTTAATATACTTAGATATATAAGCTTAAAGAGTAATTAGTAGAAATAACTAAGTAGAAATTATAGAAGTATAAGCAGATTTAGTAGAGTAGTACTATAGAGTATAGTAAGATAGTAACGTAGATAGCTATAGAGGCGTCTATAGCTACTAGGCAGTTAAAAAGAAGTTATAGTAGTAGGTTAATTAAGAAAGAGCTTAACTAGCTAGATAATGCTATAGAAACTATAGTAAGACTAGGTATAATGCATAAATATGCAAAAAGAATATAGAAGCATCTTCTAAATTAGATATAGGCATATTATATATAGGCTCTCTTATAGATAGCAATAAAATTAAAGATATATAACTAAAGTTTATTATACTAAGTAAAACTAACCTACGTGCTAGATTAACCTACGTACTAGTAGAATATGTTATATAAGCTATATATTATTAACTTAAGGCGCGTTATTCTTGCTAAGTGCAGATATAGCTTCTTTAAACTTACTAAGTAAGTAGATAATTAACTATATATACTCTTACTTACTTAGTCCTAGTTAGAGCTTTTAGAGATCTTTCTAATTAACGTTGTTGCAGCTATAAGAATCTGCCTAGAGAGTAGTTAGTCTATAAGTAATCTTACTCTTTAGCTATCTATTAATATATAGTTGTAATTAGATTACTCGCTTATATATATTATATATAGAATTCTATCTTATACTGTTATTGCATATTATAGATAGATAAGCTATTAGAAGTAATTCTAATTATAAGGCTATAAACTGCTTAAAATGCTAAGGCAATAAATTAATAGCTATATAGTAAGCCTAGATTAGTATAGATATTAGTATATAATAAAAGCATATAATAAAGAGTAACTTACTTTGCAAAGTAAGTTTAGAACTAATATCTTAGTATATATATCTTAAATATGCTACTGCTATAGTCTCTAAGCCTTCTTAATATTATAAGATACTACTAGCTTTAGATACTTAATAATATCTTATACTATAAAGTTAATTATATAAGTAAGATATGTAATTATATTCTCTTCTGCGTTCTAGATAATATTATTCTCTAGAAGCTATTACTCTAAGTTAGAGGCAAGTATACTATTATTTTCTATATTATTACTTATAATAGCTAGAAGTTTTATAGTTATTTAAGTAGACTTAAGAGTCTTTATAAGCTTAGTTGCTATAGTAATACTAGTATAGCTCTTATAAAGTAGAATAAAATTAAGCAGC